GTTAATTTATTAAGCGACGATCGCACTGAGATAATTAAAAATTTATTATTTAAAACGTTTTGTAGGAGGTGTTTTAGAACAATCTGACTTGGTAGCACATCCAAAGTATATTGATTATGACTGCCCTTATTATATCCTTATAACTACTATCCATAGCTAGCTAAGGATATATCTAGTTATATCTAGCTATCCTTATATCTAGTGGTACAGGGGGACCAATCCGAACAACAATTTTAAAGTTTGATCAGCGTAAAATTATATATCTAAGTCTGCAAGTTCCTTTCAATTTGAAAACTTTTTATCTTGTTGAATTATACAACAATAATATCTCCTAGATGAGGCCTCAAACTTCTTTGGCAACTCAACTTGAGGACGAAAGGCAACAGTTACTTCGAGTTCTAAGTATACGATATATACCTGATCCGCTTCGGCTAATGCTTATATCCCTAATTCATCGTTATAAGCAATATCCATTTGCATCTATTGCCTTATCTTCTTACTTACCTACTCTCAAATTGTCCATCTTTAATTTTCAAAGTGACCTATGGACGTCAATAGCCTTAACCGTATGGGCTAGCGCAGACTAAGAGGAACGCAACGGAGAGGCTATTTTAAGACACTTGAAAATAAACTTTTAAACTATCGATATAAAATGCCTACTGCAGACATCCGGACCCCTCTTAGCGCCTACTCGCAAAGACGCGGGCACCACCGTCGGGTACATTCCCTATCTCGGGCAAATTCCTCATTGCAATCGCAGTGATGACAGGCGGGACTCGATTCCCTCCTAGCGACCGAGTGCAGGTACTTCCTAAAGCAGCCTTGTTTTAGGAAGTACCTGCACTCCCACGAGTACCTCTAGACCAGGAAAGGACCTACGTCAGTCGGAAGGAAAGGGCCCCGTGCTGCCGTATTGCCCATTCGACAATGACCGGCTAGAGTACCTCCACGGCGGCAAAACCAGTATGTGAAGCCCCAGCCGGGACGACCCACGAGCCATCGTGGCTCGACGAGCGGCCCCGCGCCTCTTCGGGTGGGGGCCGACTGTCGCTAACCGCCCGAAACTCTCCACATACTTACAATAAGTTAGTGATATTTTATTTAACTACCAAAATATTCACTAGACATAATTTATATACAGATATACCACAGGAGTAGAACAAACAGCAGAATATCTTTTAGACTCACTCGTACCTGACGATCGGCCGGAAAACGACACTGATCATCACCGACAGATCAGGCAGTGGGCCATCGAACCACCACTGTCTCCAATGTCTGATTTACCATCTTCAGACGAATTTCTCGGTATCATTAGATCCTTGCCGCTAAGCAAGGCTTCGGGCGATGATAAAATATCTAACAAAATGATAAAAGAAGCTTGTAAACTTTCGGGTGACACGATTTTCACTGTCTTTAAACGTTGCATTGCTGAAGGAATATTTCCTCGTATATGGCGGTGCGGTAATATTCGTATAATACCAAAAAGTGGCGAAAAGCCACCGGATGATCCTAAATCCTACCGACCAATCACATTGTTACCATCGTTAGGAAAGCTTTTAGAACGTCTTGTAGTGCCCCGGCTTCTGCCAGGTGGAGTCAAATTTCATGATAGACAATTTGGATTTACTTTGGGTAAATCGACAACCGACGCTGTTATATCGGTTAGAAAGTTTGTCACAGGGTCAAAATTTCAATACGTGCTGGCTATTTTCTTAGATATATCTGGCGCCTTCGACAACGCATGGTGGCCCATGCTGTTGCTGAAATTAAAATTACGGGGGTGCTTTAAAAATATTTATTCCCTTATCTCTTCGTACTTTTCACAAGGTACAAGTAAACTAAGACTTGGTCATCATTCTGTGTCGAAGGCGCTTACAATGGGATGTCCTCAGGGATCGGTGCTAGGTCCATACTTGTGGAATATCGGCTTCGACGATTTTCTTGCGATACCAATACCATCCGGATGTACTCTGAACGCGTATGCTGATGACGGCTTATTACTGGTGGAATCTGATACTAGGGCGGGGCTTGAGAGATTAGCCAAGAGATGTTTGAACTTGATATCTCAATGGGGTGAACGTAATCGCTTAACTTTTGCACCCAACAAAACCTTCCAGCTACTTTTAAAAGGTAACCTCAAATCACCGCCGAGCATTAGATTTGACAATGTTACTGTAAAAAATAAAACCACAGTGTGTTATCTAGGATTAGTTTTAGAAAGAAACTTTTTATTTATCGAACATATTAAAATAGTTAATGAAAAGTCTAAAAAGAGTTTCTGTGCATTGACAAGGATATCAACTGCGACATGGGGTCTATCATTTAATACATTAAAGATCATATACGGAGCTACTTATTTAGGTTCTATGTGCTATGGTGCACCTGTATGGGCCGATAGGGCGACCGTAGGCGCTGTCCGTCGCAAACTGTTACAAGGCCAACGACTTGCACTGATATTTTTGTGCAAGGCATATAGGACGGTTAGCACTGAAGCTTTGCCGGTGTTGGCGGGTGTGCTTCCGGTCGATCTTGAGGTGCAGAGACGTGCAGCCATGTACTATTCAAGACAAAACATGGAATGCGATTTTTTGGGCGCGCGGGATCGCGGTAAAATCACAAGATTGCTTCAACAGCAGTCCGATGTCTATAATGACCTCATAGACAGCAACGCTGGGACGAATCATCCAAGGGGCGCCATCTTTACCAATTTTTTCCATCTGTTCGCGAACGGTTGTCGAGGACATGGCTTGAGGTGAATCACTGTGTCGCTCAATTTCTTACGGGTCATGGTAACTTTAAGAGCAAGTTGTATTCATTTAAATTAGTCGAGTCACCATTGTGTCAATGCTCAACACCTAACTCTCATTATGAACAATCTGCTCATCATATCCTCTGGGAATGTAGTCTTTGGTATAATGAACGCAATACAATGCTGAATAGCTTGCAGGTGACATCTGGGGCGGTATACTATGGGGATCTTGTGTCAACTAGGGTGAATTTCCGTGCGTTTAGGCGATTCTGCCATACATATTATAGAAATCAAATATAGCTCATGTAGGACCCGTAATATTTTGTGGCCGTGGTGCTTCCCTGTTTAAAAGGGTGTATGCCTATTTTACTTCATTTTGTCTCCCGCTTTGCTAAGGAGGGAAGTGGATTTACTGTATTTCCAACTCCTCCAATTTTCTTCTGATTCATTTCGTTGCGGGTTCCAAGACAGTTTAATTTCTTCCTGGGACTTCCCGAGTGTCATAACTTGGTGTGTTCGTGGGTCACTGCTGTGGATCCTGGTGTACAGGAGTTACAGTGGTGGGCGCGTGGGTGGGATTAGACATAATTTATGTGGCAAAACAACGTTTGCCGAATTAGCTTATATGTGTGTTTATATTCTTCATTCGCCACAACATAAGTAAACCCTAATAACCTCTATAGTAGGCCCGTAAGATAAGCATACCCTTCGCAATAATCAAGAGACCGCAGCCACGATCAATCAGTACATGTCGAACCTTATGAAGCAGACGATCACTGTTCTTAAACGATAAGGTTTATGTCAAAAAGCAAATTTGAAAAATATTACCCAATTTTTATGATAAATTACTCATAAATTATTCCGGCGTCATAGTCACACTTACTACTGAAAACTATACGCCTATTTAGTGAAGTCTACACGTTATTTTATATCTAAACTGATGTGTTCAAAAATTAAGATCTGATGAAAAGTTACTCCTATATAAATATCATCTAATATTTTAAGCATTAACGCATTCTTGTAAACAGCTATTAAAGGGGAATGGTGCTTAACTTTGAGCTCACGTTTAATCATTAATACAACTACCACCATGGCTACGGTTTGGTAAACATTTGCCAGAGTTTGCGTTTCTAATATGTACAAATGGGTGGATGGGCAAAGTCAAAACTTTGGCATACAAAATACTATAGCATGAAGTTATAACTAGCTATTATTGAATCATTTATATTTAATTAACGTTGATTTGAAGATATCAAATCAATAAAAACATGATAATGATAATGGAGAACAATTCAGGGGGTATCTTTAAATGTTGCATTACAAACAAAAAAAAATCTAACTTATCTAACCTATCTACAAAATTTTTTCAAAGGTTTCGCCTTTGTTTTTCCAAGATGTACCATACGCTATATAATTTTAAAGACTATTCCTAACATATATGAAATTGACGCTCTACGTTGGACAAAATGTGAAACAACGGTCATAAGCACAGTACAAATAAAAAATAGTAATTGGAATTGATGCGAAGAATAAATTGACGGAATTATTTATTTCACAAAAAAAAACGAGAAAACGCCGTCATTATTAGTGATTATTGAACTCAATAGCAAACAAACAAGTTTATAAATAAACTAATTTATAATACATAAAACATGACGTCATAAACCTTGTTGACTATGAGTTATAAATATTTTATTCTCGCCTAACCAATCATTTATTTACTTTATATAAACTTGAGATTAAAGTAATTTTACAAAATGATGAATGAAGTGAATAAAAATTCCCGATTCAGACTTCCGACTCAGACAGACAGACAGAGAGAAACACAAAACAAGACTTTATTATGAGAAAGACTTTTGCAGTCTTCCTCTTAGCTCCATTACAAGCTGGTAGAAGCGGTTCCTAAAAGCGGATAATAATCTATTTGTAATACTAATAAAATAAATGTTCTCGAATTTTCATTTATTTCAACCGACTTCAAAAAGGAGGAGGTTTTCAATTCGGATGTTTTTTATGTACGTTTTTTATGTTCGAAAGCGGTTTGATCTGAAATTGTCCCATTAAAATTTCATATAGATCTGATAATGAATTTCGGAGACAGACAACGGAATTTTTCACAAAATGACAGCAAATCAACCGCGATTACTGCTAGGTTTTAGTACTCTTTGTTAGTATTGCTTGAAGTCGGTTCAACTTTTAAAGAAGGATTTTCTTGTTTGGAATGATGTAAGTTTTGTTTTTTTTTCTGCAATTAATGTTTCTTTTTCCCACTTCCTTTGGCTATGTAAGTATTCAAGTCCTTATTTGTATCCTCTGAAAAGTATTGCTTTATAGCATCAGGTACTGTATTCGTTTTTTCCACATAGTATTCGCATCCTTGCCGTTGTCCGTTATAGTAGAATTTACCTGTAAAATGTACAAAAGAAAGATGTAGAAAAATTCAATATTCTCTTGCCTGTCGCGTATCGAAAACTTGATACCTGAAAGATAATCCTCTTTATACAGTAAAACTCGATATACGTCTCTGTATTCGGTGGCCTGTCATGTTTTCGCGCACACCGGTGTCGTATTTCGCCTCTTAGAGCATTTCGTGACTGAGTAAAATTTTGTTGGCTTGAGTCAAAATTAGGAATGAATACATTTGTGTAGAAGTTGACGGGTGCCAAACTAGATCATGATCAAACAAAATATGGACAAGAGCAGGAAAAACAATATGTTTAGAAAAGGAATTAAGCAATGATATGACGAATGCTAAAATAAAATGTTAACAAAAATATATTGCGCCGACCGCAAATAAAATTGGAATAATATATGATAAGATGATAGTAGACAGATAATGATGAACTTAAAAAACGGCGATTGTATATTAACAGCTAGAACCAATTTTATTCCTTAATCTAGTCAAATTAACTGAAAAGAGTTAACAACATTGTATATGTATTTTTTATAATGTTGGGGAAACGAGCACCTGGATCTCATGATGGTAAGTGACTGCCGCCCATGAAAGGGTCACGACGCCTTTTGAGGGGCTTGAACGCTCTTTTCTTGAAGGTTTAAAGATCGTATCGAACAGGAAATACCGCAGACGACAATTTGTTCTACAGATTGGTTAGGAGAAGCAAAAAGTTTTCTGAAAAGCGCGCTCATCGAGCTTTTTAGGCGCTGGTGCTTAAAGTTCTATGTACCTCATTTCTAAATATAGTTTGTCTCTGTGGTTTGTAATGTGGGATATCTTTTTTTAGCTAACTAAATGAAAATCTTAATTTTTTTTTTTTATCAAACTTTTATCTATCGTTTGCTTAACCCGTAATATGTAGTCTTGCAATGATGGCTCTTTCTGGAATTGAGAATTTCTTTCTTTCTTTTTTAAAAGACAACTTCCAAGTATATCCTGTATCGCGGAGAACTTTACATTCATTCAACGAACACAAAGAACAGCCAAACTGAGAACAACAATTTGTGCATCATGCAAAGTGTTGTCCCAAGTGGAGATCGAACCCACAACACTCAGCAGATTAGAAAGCGTGAGCGTGAAATCCGTGCAGTCAAATTGCCCAAATGACAGAACAAAATGTGATACCGATGGTTTTGAGCCAAGGAGTAATACATGTAATAATAGTATTCAAATATACATATTGAAATGTTAACTCCTAGATGTACATAACATACTATTCCCTAACTCTCTACTAACTCCCAAGTCACAGGAATACCTAGTTTGGGAGTTAGGGTTTCTCTACCCGTGTAACCTTGTGTTATGTAATATAGCATTAAGTACAATTTATTATTATAATATATATTTATTTTTTGCCTTTCAATAAAATGTGGTCGATTTATATATGTATGAAATCATACCATATTCGCTTTTCTTTCCTGAGTTAACTTCTCGAGATTTGACTAAACAATTCTGGAAACGAATTTCACAAAAACTTGGAAAATTCACCAAACCATATCTTGCATGATGGGTACACACTAGATCTGTACTACTCCTGTTGAGAGATGTAGAAAATAAAAATAAATGGTTTATTTTTTATTTTTACCGAATTATACCAAAATAGAATTCTAAAGCTAAACAATAGACACGATACAAAATAAGTCGCAAAAATGATGTAAGAACCAGTTCAATAAATACAGATTATGGTCCATCTAATCTAAGAGGTACCGTTTGACAGTTCTGACAGATATAAAGTAAGTAAGTAAAATAAGGAATAAGGAGAAATATTTGCAGACGATATCAAACATACAAGAAATATATAATTGGGTGTACTGACTAGCGATATTCACCGTTAAAGTTGATGAAGTAAATCTTAAATTGTCTCATCAGTACAAAATTGCTTTTCATTCTTTAATTTTTGGAAATAATTTCTACCTACACGTTTGTTGTAGACGGGTAAATTAATATCCCTTTGAGTACAATAGGTAGTATCTCAATATATAATACTGACAAGGGTGTAATTCACAGTACTTTAGTCCATCTTATCTAAGAGGTACCGTTTGACAGTTCTGACAGATTAAATAATAAGGAGGGTAGACCAAAAAAAAAAAAAATAAGGAGGGGCTCAAAGAAATCGATTACTACAATATCCGATTCTTAAGAGATATCAATATCATTTCTTTGTATTTACAAATCGATTACAGTTTTCCAGATTTATAAATGTTAATGTATAAGCCCGAATATTTATTCTATCTTAGGTTTTACTAGTAAATCTATATAAGTAATGTAGACAAATGATAATCGATAAAAACAAATGAACATCTATAAATACAATAACACAAAAGTAAAGACAAATAAATAACACAATGTCTAGTTTCAGGGACATAAGATTGTCAACAATTAACGGGCAAAATAAGTTGAAAAACACATTGCATCTAATTTTATAGTAGGCAACACATACATTTAATACAACAAAAAACAGTTTTTTGTTATATTTTAAAACAAAAAACAGTTGCAAGCCCTTAGTGTCATTTTTTGTTTCAACACGTTTTTGGCATCTATAAATGACGCTCATAACGAAAATAAAAAAGGAATTAGATATTGAGGATAATCATAAGGTTTAAAATAGCTTGAAACTATTTTTTTAAACACATCACATATAAATGACAAAAAGTTGGCGCAAGCAATTTTCGACCTTATAAACATCCTCAATATCTAATTTCTTTTTTAATATGCCACTGTTTTTTGTTATCTGTTTGTGTTGACTAACTGTTGAAAAACTACGAGAAGACAATTTCAACACAATTACACGACTGTCTGAATTTTTCTTCAGGTGAATCTGTAGGGAAGCGAACAACGGTACAAAACTTATTACATTAATAGAAATAAATAATAAGAATAGAAATAAATAATCTATAATTCAGGCAAAAAATTGTATTTGAAATGTGTTTTTATGCTCAGTACGTTTGTTTGCTAGAGTACCAGGGCAATATTCGGTTTGAACATAACTTCATTGGTGCGTATTGTAAATACTACAAGATGTCTGTTTATTAATTTTATTGTCGATTATATTATTTTACGTTTAAACGATTATTCGTATTGAAGTGAATTTGAATAGTCACATCACTACGGTAAAGGACCTAACTACATAACTTTGAAACGAAGTAAAAAAAAGGATATTTTTTTCATCATCATTAGCGTATCGCAGTCCTGGACATAGGCGTCTCCTACTGCACGCCAATTCATTTCATTCATTGAAGACTTTCGTCTTAAGGCACTGTGGAATCAACGATGTGAAGACTCGACGTAGCTTCACAAACCCTGCCCAACCCAGCTGAATTCTTCTATTTACCTCGTCCTCGAAGTTGTTTCTACCTAACTGCAATGTATACACATTTTTAAATAACTTCTAGAATGGTCTGTGTACCGCAATCAGTTCCGGTAGTACATATTCATTGAACATGACCTTGGTTTTATCCAAGTTCACCCGTAGGCCGATGCGCATAGAAGAGTCAGCTAGGATATATATATATCTGCAACTTGCCAGCGAGAAATGTATTCGCCACTGATGTTGATGTTACGCCTTTTCCAGTGCAGCGTCTCGAACATGTCCTTCGTTGCATTTGTAAACAATTTCGGGGAGATAAGGTCCCCTTGTCTCCTGGATGCAATGGTATAGGTCTTATTTACTGATTCTGTACTTGAATGGATACAGTGGTGCCTTCTTAGAGACATTTCATCACTTAGATGTACCGCCAATCTACTTGGCAACGCTACAAGGACTCCAGAACAGACCAGATCTCGATCGAGTCAAAGGCTTTCTCATAGTTCACAAATGTTAGATACAGGGGCTGATTATATTCTTTGGTCTTGTATATAATCTGGCGCACTGTGTGGATGAAGTCTATGGTGTCATATCCGCTCCGAAACCCAGTTTGCTCCGGTGGTTGGAATTCGTCGAGTTTTCGTGCAATACGGTTTGTTATGACTCTCGAAAACAGCTTGTAGGCGTGGCTTAGAAGCGATATGGGTCGATAGTTCTTCAACATGGTCTTGTTACCCTTTTTTAAGGACAAGATAACCAAACTCCTACTCCACGCCTCCGGAGTTCTACCTTCAAACAGGACGGCCTTGAAAAGCTTTTTGAGCTCCCTCAATACGGGTTTACCTCTAGCCTTAAGCAGCTCTGTTGTAATGCTATCCTCTCCTCCTCCCTCTCTCTCATCCTCGCCATCTGGATTTCGTCAGTGCTGACTTCTAGCAGGCTGGTCTAGGCTGGTGTTAATGCGGCTATGTGGTCCTCATTTTCGGGATTAGGTCGTTTTTTTTTTGCTTTGTTTAAAAGATTTACATTTCAATTTAGTTAATAAGAATTGTATGTAAATCTTATGATAAAATAGAAATAGCTTCATAATTCCATGGTTTTATGGAAAAGTTTATTTTAATTATGCGAGTTACGCCAATATAAAGTTGTTTCGGCTTGAAAAGAATGAATTGCATGTATTAAAAAGGCAAACGGTACCTCTTAGATTAGATGGACCTTTGTCAATACAAAAATCATTTGCCTAAATTTTGACTATATAAACTAGCAAAATGTACTTAAAAATAACGTAAATACTTACACTGTCTTAACGCATTCAGCGTGGGCATTGTGGCACAGGTGATCTGCTGGCGAAAGCTCAATGCGTTTTCCATTTCTCATGGAAACCATTTTCATGTACGCATCTTTATGTTCATCCAATTCTTCGATATAGTACACACCGGGTGGCACTTCGCTCTGAGCTGACCCTTGTACGTTATCAATGGGTGAAGATAGTATGAAGCCAACTACAAAAAAAAAATGAGATCCATTTCTGTCTGAATTTATAAGGAAGAAATAGGATTTGTAATTTGAGATTTTAGAATCTTAGTTTCCATTTTTGGGGGAAGGCAGTCAGGGGAAGATAGGAATAGACATAAATCCAAAACCAACTACATAACTTTGTAGATTTTTTGAAATGGTTTACGATTTGCTTATGTTTTAAAGATATTGTAACATTACTTTGTCACCTTTAACAAAATTAATTGTATTAACGTCTTCAAAAAAATACACACTGTTGTGTATTAAAACACTAAGGAATAGATAACTTATCATCTCGTCATTGGAGCCACTAGTTTTGTTCTATTATGTATAATATGAAAATGAATACCTATTTCTCTGCGTCACGCCATAACTTAACTTGACTTTACCGATTTCATTTTTTTTTTAAAGTTTTCTCATACTTTTAAAAGGTTCACACGGAAGGAAAAACCAAGAAAATTGCTGCACAATTGTTCTTTATGATTGAATAGGGGGCGAACGAGCAGACGGGGCACCTGACAGCGACTATCACCACCCGTGAATGCATGCAACTCAGTCATGCAGTCACAAGCGCTTTGCGGCCTTTGAGGCCGGATTACGCTCTTTTCTTGAAGGTTTGAAGGTCATATCTGTCCGGAAATACCGCAGACTATAATTATAAAGTCGTCAACTCGAAAGTTTCAAAAAGAAAGAAGAAAGCATTTTACAGACCATCGTTTGACTTCGCGCGTTTGAAAATCGGAGCAGAATAAGAATTAAAAATCGAAAAAAGTTATAGCAGACATTTAAAGCTGGAAAATAAGTTGTCGTAAAAAAATATTTTAGTAACAAGTTTCAAGTATCTATACAAATAATTAAAATTTAAGTGTCTGTTTCTAATGTCAAAATTACAGGTTTTTTCATGCTCACGGTTATTTGCAGGATACCTATGCCTAAAAACCAGTTTAAATATTTTATGTCTGTCTGTTTGTTCCGGGTAATCTTCAAAACGGCTGGACCGATTTTGGTAATATTTTACTACCAAGACTACAGTCGCGTACCGCACCACATCACTAATTCAGCACTTTTGAAAGTCGCGGGTACCAGCTAGTTTAACACACAAATGAAAATAGTTTACCTACCAACGCACTATAATGCTATGTGAATTAAATAGCGAATTCAACAAACATTAATTTGCATATGGACATCAAATTGGACTGAAATAGAAATTTTTTGTAAAACATTATGATTAACAGAGTAATGTTACAAATACTTTAATGTTCTTTAAAAACGAGTTACGTTTTTGGGTTGGGCAATTAAGTTTTGCGTGCTCCAAACTAAAAAGAAAGATAAAAATTGCCGATAATTGAAATAATATAAAATACCGCTTAACCCAACAAACAGAATGGATAAATAAAAATTCGCCATGATTGTGTTCGCACGTGTTGAACAACTATGATTAAGTGTCTTGAACAATGTAACAAGATCTAATTAAAAATGATTACCTATTTACCTCACAAACGATGTCATTCCGAACGGTAATTGAAAAAAAATAACTTTCTGTTGGTACCTATAGATAAGTGTGCTTTATAATTTGACACTGCTTTTATTTTCTTTTTTTATTAAAAGTATGAGTTTTGAGAATAATTTCTCCATTTCATAAACAAACGTCACCGTAATAAATCGTCGTAAATGAAATATTAACGTATAACAAATTACATACCTTTCCACAAAAAGGTACTTTTCCATTATATATACATAGGTAGGTACGGCAAGTTTCGCGATCACGTGCCTAATAGGTTTAACATACTTACCTTTGAATTTACATGAATAAATACAAACCTTTGAATGGACCAACTGTACAGTTAAGTTCACATAATTATGGCTATAACATAAATATTCTTTATATTCTATATTATTATTATCTAATATTCTTTTCATTAATATTACTTTAACGTGAACCTCAGAAAAAAAATGGGGTGACAAGTAGCGAAAAAAGATTTTTTTAACAAAAAATGGTATAGGTACAAGTGATAGATATTCAATCAATCGCTTTATCTGAGTACATGAATACATATTAGATAAAGACGATCATTCATTGCAAGAAATAAGAAGTTTCTTCGCAACAGTATTACCCGCTGAAGCTGTAGCAAGGAGCTTTGTCATCACGACAGTGAACTAGTGATATACCGTTCAAATATCGATATCCGAGCGATCGTTGCAAATCCAAGATTAAGTAAGGGGATAATAACAATGGCATTATTCTTTTCAGTAGTTTTCTGATAATAGAATCACATTTCGTTTACGAAAAAATATGTGAATTAGCAAGCTGAGATATTGGTAAGTAGAATAGAGTTTTTTTGTATATAGATAATCCCGCAGTAGGATAATGTGCCTTTTGCGGAGAGTTTAAAGTATAAAATTGACTGTCGCAAAGGTGACGGACCTCAAACTAAGTTGGAATTACAAACAATTAAAGTTGAAGAGTTGGTTTTTAAATTGAAGAAATTGACGTGTGGTACAACTATATACTTTAAATCGTTTTCAACGTACCACTCCGTCTAATAGATACCTATAATCAACTATTTTGTAATTAAATAACATCAGCACCACAGCATGTTATTTTTATATTAATTAGAAAAACATTATTTCTATCAGGAGTAATATAGTTTTATTATTCGTTTTCGAATTATATATAATATAAATTCGAACCTCAAAATGATCATAGACAGACCTAACATTTTGAAGAGCCAACTAATTTTTCATAGTTCACCGAAAACGATCCGATAATGTTTTTTATTCTTAATCCGTCACCATATGGAAACGTTGTGTACAGTTTCAGATAAAGAATACGTAGTGTCACCGCCCCTATTTATGCTGTGGTGGGTGTCGTAAGAGCCGAATAAGGGTACAAACTACGCAAAACAACAGCACTGCAAAGAGAAGGAACACTTGAAACAAACCCTGGCCTCAATTCTGCTATTTTATGTTAACACCAAGCCACTGTCATTCAAACTATTCCGACGACATTCCATCGACAGTCTATTGATACAATATTTAAATGGCAAGAAAGCTGAAATTTCAGGGCATTTTATTTGATATTTCAAGGAAATCATATTCCCTTCTCAATCTCAAAGAGTCCGTTAAACTGTGAGATGCTCAACTGCACTATGTTTAAAAAAAATGAGCATTTACATAATTAACACAATTGAAATGGGCCTACCTAGGACTCAAAAGTATACGTTGTTTTTAGTTTTTTGTGATATGCAGCAACCAGAAACCGTGTAATCATCTTAACTTACTCTGTCTCTTGAAATCGAAAAGACATAAACTGCTTGTTGTTCTGTCAAAGGTAGTCAATTCAGATTTAAATTTAAGTATGAATATTAAAATCGGCAAAAGTAAGTATATTTATTAGGTACAACTAAATATCTACAAAGCTGATGATGATCTATTTAAAATAATTAGCACAAAGTTTGAAAAGAACTCAGAGACTTATTACTTCTATAATCTTAATATACTGGTATAACTGTAATATTTCCTGTATTATATATTTAGTTTTTATTATTTTATAAACAGTAGCGTGTTGTTACAGTCTAGTTACTAGTCAAATTCCTGTTCAGGCAGAAACAGCGAGCTAGCACTTTTTTTATCTTGGTTGGTAATTTGGTAAAATTGGTATCCCGTTGAAGCTGTCAAACTGTCAAGTGCAGAGAATTGATGCTATATACTTGGATTGAGGCAGCCGAAGCGGTTCAGTACTAGTTTGCTAACTCGATATATGTATAGCGGTTATATGTTATATGAGTTGGATATCTAGAGATCCTAGTTAATCACTAAAAATATAAACAAGGAGTCATCTTTCAATTTGATAAATTGAAAAAACCTCATTTTTAAGGCTAACCTTTGGAATGAAACACCTAATGACATTTCGTTCATAATAATATCTAATAGTATTTACGTATCTTATTTAACCGGGTAAAACTATGTTTAATACCAACTTGCCACGATATCGGCTTTTAAAAGTATCGTAAAACTTTTTTTACAGTGCGGTGAGTGAGTACAAGTGCACATGGACTTGTCTCGTTGCAACTCTAGAGACACAAGTGCATTGCCGCCTCTTTGAGTGTGTGTGTCCTTTTTATTTATTTTTCTGTGCGGAAATCCCCTCGGATACCATCCACCGGTCTGATAACCGACTAAAAACCACATGCCGTCTCAGGTTCCCCGAAAGAAATCCCTGGTACCCCGACGTACCACGGGCATTCTACGCCATGTTCATGAAATGTGTGAGTCTCTAGAATTAGAAGGTTGGGCCTGTTAATATCGCACACTCGAAAAGCAACGAAACGATCGCTTAACACCGGTTTTCAGTGAGGCCCTTTGATCAGACCGGCTCATTACTGGCTCTATAACTTATCATTTACTTAAATCTATGATATATATTTTACCAGCTTTTATGTTTGTGTCGGTTATCGTGGTAAAAAGTAGTCCCATGCCCTTTCTCAAGAATCAAATTATCTCCATATCTAATTTAATAAAAATCGGTTCAGCGGTTACCGATTCCCCATACTTCCACCCCCTTTTTTCATCCCTTTAAAAGGTGATTCTTGGATGAAAACTATTCTATGTTCTTTCCTAGAACATAGAATAGTTTTCATATCTTTATTCTAAATTTCTTTATTCTAGAAACTATCTTTATTCTAAATTTCATCTGAATCGGTACAGCAGTTTAAACGTGAAGAGGTAACAGACAGACAGACACACTTTCGCATTTATAATATTAGTATGGATTTTAATTTCTTAATTACCCTTTTTACTATAAAATCTAAACTAAAACAAAGAAAGAAGTTTTTCAATTTGTCTTGAAAGTGGCAGCATTTCGATACTTTAGCCGTATTTAAACATCACTAAACCAGTGTCGCTAATCCTCCACCGACATTCCAAGACAGATGGAAAGTATCTGATTAGACCGATTAGCACAGACAGACACCAGCACAAGATAATTTATATCAATCCTTATTTTTTAGGTGTAGAACACAATATCGCCTGTACAAATCTGTACAGGTCCAGTCGAAGTAAATATATAAATTTCTGCTTTATCTATTCTAGATAGAATTTCATTTTGTCTGTCACAAAGTCAAAGAACAGACTTGTCGTCGGATACAATTTCTTAAAACACAACCAGTATAAAAAGACCGAAGCCACTTGAACATAGTCTTAGCGGAACTGTTAATTCACCAGATCTAGATAAATGGTTTACAGTATAGCTTTCAACGTTGGTTATAGATTTTATAATTTAAGTATGGTCTTTTATTCATTTAAAGAAAGGAGACCGATAATGGCTTAGGCGAAATTAGCATTGTAAGCTTAAGTCTTAAAACATGGGCGATGAGATTCCGTATTTTAAAACACGTCTCAAGTATCGGTTAAACTCTGATTACCTAAAAATAGTTGTAGGTTTAGACCAAAACTTAAGCGTCAATCTTATTATAGAACGCGTTCTAAGTTTTACTCAGTTGAAACTATTTTCAAGTATTGATTTAAACTTAGAGTCTGTTCTTAATGACGTTTCCGCATGGTTCCGCATTTAAAATTAATTTTCTTTTCAAAAATCATTTATGTGAAGTTGTATGTTAAGGAGAGGCCTATGTCCAGCAGTAGACTGTTATAGACTGTTGATGTTGATGATGATGATGATGAAAATCAATACCTTAGTAAAGATTTCGAAATTAAAGGACTTCTCCCATCTTTTTTAGTTATTGACGAATATCTCAGACTACTAGGACTACTCAAACAAAACGATTTTAAGATATTTGTTACTTCGCACGAAAATGGACAATACTCGAATCAAATCGGTTTCAAATTATCCTTAAATAAAGAATACATGAGCAAAAAATCGTAGTTTTATGAATTCGATGCTAGAAATAGAGAAATGATAAAAAAAACGATAACAGTTAGTAATTAGAACTTTAGAATTGCCATATAATTGAATTTTATATTTACAGATACGATAGAGCTAGATGTCCTTTTATCGGGTTTCAATCAAAAGTGTATTAGCAGCTACAGTGTATTAGCAATCGGTATAAATTCAAAATAAAGATACCAATAATAGTACCTACATACAAGATTGAAAGGCTCACTGCAATTCAAAGAGGACAGTATTGCTAGCTCATTCAGCTTTCAACTGCCAACTGCTAATTTCAAATCGACGGAGCGTTCCTGCGAAACACAGGCTTACAGCTACCTGCACACAAAGCCACTTTTTATTTTTTTACAATTTTGAGATTGTCTTATTACTTATTTTCGTAGATATTAAAACAATTAAGAAACACTTTGGCGTATACTATAGCGGTCATTTTAATTGTTGAACTCATCATCATTAACAGCCTTTAATAGTCCACTGCTGGACATAAGCCTCTCCTTAGAAAGGAGGTTTTGGCCTACTATACCACGCTGGCCAGACGGGTTAATATAGGGTTTGTTTAAAGTTTTTCTGTCAGCTCTTACGGTAAAGTACAGTAAATAGGCTTATCTAAAATAAGAATTCACCACATGCGTCATCACTGTTGCTGCCAGCCACCTGTGTCGCAACGTCCGTGCCCCTCTGTATTCTTAATCCGTCACCACACGGAATTGTTGAACTATAATTAATTAAAAAATGAGAACATCTAGTATTAGTCCTGTTGCGTACAAATCGTAGTTAACTTCAATAGCCAGCCAATAGACAACTCAGCCACATTAAAGTGCATTATTTTATTTTTGAGAAATGTGGCATAATCAGGCTAAATATTAAAGTAAATAAATTCCAACCCAACAAGGAATCTAAGATTTCTCAGAATTTAATAGTTCTAAAATTGATTTTTCCATTTATAAACCAGGATACATAGATGGATGATTTCAAAAAAAGGACTTATTATAAATTATTGTGAAAGGTAAGAGATTACAAACTAGGTAATTAAACGAAAAAGTAATGTCCGTTATTTTGGCAACCTTTAAAACATAGTACCTAGCTTTGCTCGGGTTTTTTTTAAAGTAAATTTCCTAAAAATGAAACCTAGCTAGATCGATTAATCGCCCCCGAAGCCCCCTGTATACTTAATTTCATTAAAATCTTTGGAGCCGTTCCCGATATTCAGATACAAGAATTACTCGTTTAAAGGCAT